GAGGGGAGAAGGAGAAGGCGCTGATCAGCCCATTTCAGGACGGCTGTATACAGTGGGGAGTTGGCGAATGCAATGCCTTATTAAAGGCGGAAACATCATCAGCTGTACTTTTGAGGTAGGAAAAGGGAAAGAGGGGCGACGGGGAAATCGTAGGCCCCTTGGCTTCGTGGGGAAAGAGTGGGGGAGCCAGTAAAGAGGACGGGGGTAGCACCGCTAGGCAGTAAGGCACAGGGGGCTTACGTCTGCACGGCAGCGTGGCGTGGCGTAGCGCTGAGCGCAAATTGCTGCCAGTTGGTCCATGTAGCCTGGCCTGCGACTGCGAGTAGTCTGCCCTACCATTCCTAGGTCCAGTCCTGGGTTCGCTACTTTATAATCCTATCATTTCGCAAATTTTTTCTAAACAAGCAGTTTATTTTTGATTTGTTTTTTTTTCTTCTTTTTTTTTCCGATCGCTGGAAGTACTCGGCCGCGACCGTCCCGCAATCACCACGGCAGACGCCGGCGTTCTCACGACCATGAGCCCGAGGCCTGCGGGGCTTGCTCTCCCGGCGATCCCTTCTTAAAGCCATCTCCGTCATCGCCTTTCTGTCCCCTCTCTCTGTCCCAAAATCTCCCAGTCTTCACACTGCCCTTGTTCACTCCCCTTTCCCTTTTCTATTCGTTCTACCCCCTATACGTTCTCCAGACTCACCCTTTTCTCACTCGACTCTTCACTCCTTCCCTTCCCCTCTCCTGCGGCCTTTGAACAAATACAACTGACTCGCCACCACGAAAAAAATAATAATGTAATTTTCGAACGAAAAAACAAAGTGCTGGAGTTCCCTGCTAGATCTCTTCCCCGCTGAACCGATAAAATATACAGTGTAGACTCCTCTCGCAGGGTGGCCCTTCCTGGCAGAGCCAGGCGCTTGGTCCGACTTCTTGGCAATTGCCGTTCGCCACGAGGTCAGCTCACATCTCTCCCTCTCTCTCTCTCTCTCTCTCTCTCTCTCTCTCTCTCGCTCTTTCCCTTTCCCGGGAGAATGGCGGTCAGTGAACACAATACCACAACGGCCACTTTTGTATCGCCCATTGCGTTTCCCTCTGCATCGGCGTGCCCGCGGCGTGCCCTCCATTCTTTCACTCCCGCCTCTCTCCGGTCTCTGCATTTCTCATCTCTACCCTTACTCGATTAGTTCCATACATCCCTCAGATAGTCTCTCTCTCTCTCTCTCTCTCTCTCTCTCTCTCTCTCTCTCTCCCATCCGAAGGGTCTTTCTTCAAACAGACCCCCTAAAACATTGGAATGCAAGATGGACAGTCCAGGCGGATTACGCCGTTCATAACTTACATGCAAAGAGCATAAAGAGGAAAAAGAATCAAGATTAAAAAGAAAATTGCGGACAAGGCAATAACTCTTGAATGCTTCCTACAAGATTACGAGCGAGACGTCAACGTGGTGGTCCCCGCTAGAGCCGCAAGCAGGCGCCGTGGTCTCAGAGGTAGCCACCAAACCCACGCCGCGACATGGTGTTTCTGCGGATGCGGACGGGGCGATTCAAGCCGCTTTCCTGGTCTTTAGTCGGCTTTGCGGCTCGGTTGTTGTGGTCGAGGGTTCGGCGAGGGTGCGGTCCCCCGCGCACGAACCACACGAGTGTCGTGTCGTCCCGACCCCGGCGCAGCGTCACCGCGATGCACGACTTTGCCTCCGCCTCTCGTCGTGGACTCGGTCACGACCCCCCGGCCCGGCCGGTGTGACACGACCTGATCACCTGCCGGTTTAAGGTTTAAGCCGCCCCGATCCGGTGCGACCCCGGGGCCCCGTTTGGTCCCCAGCGGACCCCTCTGGTCCAGGCTTGACTTGACGACTCACCCCGACGCCCCTTTCCCTTCTGCTGTTTCGATCCACTCGGGTATTTCACCACGGTTGCCACAAAATTTTCATTTCCATTTTCCCTGAGTTTCCCCTGATTTCCAGACCATTTCTCCCCGAATTTCCCTGAGTTTTAAGCACCGTTCCTGGTGAAGTACTGGGGCAAACTAATACACCCAACTGTAATACAAAGACCGCGAGCGAAGCGAGCGCGAAAACTTTTGGGACAAAACACCCTACTGGGACGTCAAAATGTGTATTTGACCTAAACGGCGAATAGACTGCAGATTGGGGACCAGTCAGACCGAATTTCCCTGACTTTTTTTCATTTTCCCTGAGTTTTCCCTGATTTCCCTGACAGTTTTTTATTTCCCTGAGTTTTCCAGGTTTTCAAGGTTTTCCAGAGTTGTGGCAACCATGTTCACCCTTCTTGCTGCCTCGCCTCTCCGAATCCACAGGCCGCTGTATGCTGCATGGGGTCGGCACGCCACACCCCCTTCTCCCTCTCTCTATGCCTCTCTCTCACTCCCTCCCTCCCCAACGGGCCTGGCTTCCGAACCAGTGTCCCACCAGTGCGGTGACAGTGACAGCCGCCCTACACCCGTGCCAAGAACTGCACCCCCACCCCTCCCGCTTCTCCCCGGGCGCCTTAGTCCTTATTCTGCCATATTCACTCAGGGCTCTCTTTGCCCCCTCCCTAATCCCCTCCCCCTGCCCTGCAGCGCGGTGCCCGGTGCTCCGCCACCTGCTGGATTTGAATCACCTTCGCCACAACAGAGCAGCCAAGAACCCTGCCAACGGGGCCCAACGCCCAACCCCCGCTATAACTCTTCAACCAGCCCGGATAAATCCGCCGACATGGATCGATGATCGCTATTATTATTTATATCAATATGTTTTCTGCTTGTTGCTTACCTAAGTCCTGATGTTCCATATTCCGATACGGAGCCCCCGCTGCCCAGCGTCATTCTGGAACAAAAAAGACGAACGTCACTCGATGGAAGTATGTATACGGGGACTGTCTTAGGCAGGGGCAAATTATACGACCTTACTTAGAGCGCACAAATTTTAAGAAGGAGACATAAGGGTTTGTCAGAATCAGTGGGCGAATGACACGACGTAGGATTGCTCAAAAGAGAGGGTTTATTTCAAAACAAAATAAGACAACAGGCAGGTCGACTGAGGGAAAAAGTGTGTGTGTGTGAGAGAGAGAGCGCGCGCTCAACCATTTCATAAAAAAGATTGTCTTCCTCATCAGCCGACGCAGACGGCGATGTGGCTCGTCGCCCTGGCCGCGCTCATGATGCCCTTGCCGGCCACGCAGGCCCCGAAGGCCGGCGGGCCCATCGAGATGGACGTCAGGCAGTTGGACATGAGGTGGCCCACGCCGCCGGGCAGCTTCACAATCTCCTTCTTCACGCATTCCTTGATGTGCACCAGGTTCGCCTTGAACTTGGGCGACAGGTGCGGGTGCGGCATGTGCAGGTGGGGCATGTGCAGGTGGGGCATGTGCGGGTGCCAGCCGGGCTTGGCCGGGGCCGGTGGGTGTGAGGGCGGCGGAGGGTTGGCCTGTCGATGGGAAAATCGCAAGAGTTTAGGAGAATGCCCGCCAGGAGGCGTGATGTAATATAGACGAGGTCAGCATTGACAATTTACGACGAAAATTTGTTGTCAGCTTCGGGCTTTCTTTTCCCATAGATTTCGAAAATGTAGTGCATTCACCCAGAGAAATGATTAGCAATGGCAACCATCTAATGGTCAGCTCAGGGAGCACCATAAAATATGGTTGAGACAACAGTGACAACGTGATGAAAACCATATTTTTGGTTCCCACTACCACGGTAAGGTTGCATCAAGCATATTTTATAGTGCTCTCTGAGCCAACCATATGATGGTTGCCATTGCTAATCATTTCTCTGGGTGTTATAATGGTTGTTAAAGTCGGATAATAACTGTTGGTGTGAAGCCTTTACCAGTGCGAGGGCCAGGGTGGCCATCAGGGCGCAGAGGAGCAGCTGGTGCGCGGAGGCCATGGTGAAGCAGTGCGATTGCGGCAATCGTGGCCGCCGGTGTGGACTTTATACGCGCAAGGAAGCCGCCGTGAGCCGGGCCCGCGCACGAGCGTCGTGAACCCCGACACGCGCTAGACGAGAAACTCGCTTTTGTTTTGCATTCTAGAAACTCCGCCGCAACTTTAATGAGCCCAAGCAGGTGCCATTGCATCAAGTTTGTTTGTCAACTAAGTCAAAGTGGCAGCAGGGCACTAGCCCATGCAGACGGCCAGGTGGCTGGTGGCGCGTGCGGCCGGGATGGCGGCCCTCTTGGCGGCGCAGGCCGCGATGGCTCCCATGCCGCCGGCGGCCGAGCTGGCGCAGCCGGTCACGACGCCCTGGACGGCGGCGGGGACGCCGGGGGTCCTCTTCAGGCAGTCCTTGAGCTTTTGCAGGTTGGGGGCGAGCTTGTGGGCGACGTTGTGGGCGACGTGCGACAGCTTGACGTGCGCCTTGTGCATCAGGCTCTTGAAGCTGCGCTTCTGCAGGGGGTGGGCGCCGAGCAGCTGACGCAGGTTGGCGGGCTGCTCCGGCTCGGGCTCTGCGACCTGCGTGGGCGGGAGGACAATGAGGGCAAGACGGGCGTCAGAAAGGGGAACCATCGACAAGCCAAAGGACTTATCCGAGTAACTCTGGACTACGTTACCGCGATGGCCGCGGCGGCGGCGACAACGAGGAGGACGACGGTCAGGTGCTGCATGGCGGAGGTTTCAGAGGGGCTGCTGCTGCTGCTTGGCGCGACTGCGGCCTGCCACCGGGCGCCCGGGGCTTATATCCGGCCAGGGCGCGGCGCTGCGTTAACGGGCGTGAGACGGCGTGAGCCAGGGGCACGATCTGCGATGGGGCGGCGGACGGAAGCGTGCTGCAGGTGGGCGGGGGGCACAGGGCAGTGACGACGCAAAAGTCACAGGGAGAACGAACAACCGACATAGGCTGGACACACAGTCACAAGGAGGAACCATCAAACGTTACAAGGACTCATACAAGGACGGGTAAGGGTGATCTGCGTCGCCCCTTTTTTCTGGTTACACTGGGCGAAAATCGCGACAGCGCAGCGGCGAAATTCATTTTCTAGTTCGCTGCGTCTGCGCATAAAATTCCCGACGCAATATGGGGCTACATCTGTTTTCTCCTCCGAATCACTAGTCTTTCTCTCTCTCTCTCTCCCTTTTTTTTTCTGCCACTCCCCGCCCATGCCTCCCCTTTCTGCCCGGCCCTCTCCCCCGCACATCCTGCGCGCCCATTCCCGCCCTTCCGTCCACCGTATTTTCACCTCCCCGTCCTTCCGGTCCGGATCAGTGTGCCGGGCGCGTCCCTCTCCACCCCCTCCCCTCCCCTCGCCCCAGTACGCCGCGCCACGCCAAGGCCCAGGCCGAGTCCATAATGACAGCTGCTTCCGACATATTTCTTTCCGCGGCCGCCCCCTCCGGCCGGGCCCCCGCCGGCCCCGGGCGTGACCCCCACACGGCCGTGGCGACTCTCGACGCGACGGCATACCCCAATGGCCTCTCCTCCGAGATCAACAGCCGCCCCGCCGTCCCGCCCCTGCCCCAGCGACCTCGGACCTGAGTCAGCAGACCTATGCACACCCTCCTGCGTCCCTTCGACACCCCCAGGAGCCAGTCGCACACATAGCCGACCGGAGTGGCGCACTACTTGTACAAATAACGCATACGCAAAAACATATATCTCATATATATCTCAGAACATTATGTTTCATAAAGGATGGTGGTTTATTTTAGATAGAGGAAAGTACTTGCGTTGTAGAGCCGCAAGGGGTGGGGGTGGGGTAAGAAATGTCAAAAAGATCGACAGAGAAGAGTAAGAAAGGGGAATAAACAGAGCACGAGATACGTGCGTCAGCAGCAGGCGAATCACTTGACGTGGAGGGCCAAGCCCGTCACACAGCAGTGTCGCTGCGCCACGCCGCTCCTCAGCCCCGCCCGATAACACTAAAGTTACGGCAGTTTAGCTCCGCGGAATTTTATGGGTCACGCGTCTTGCCCCGAGTTTGTTTCATGGCGAAGTGCAACTACTGTCCTCCCTCGCCGTCTCCTTCTCTGCCTCGCTTTCCCTCCCACTGCGATCGTGCTCGGCCCCGGCGGCCCCGGCGGCGGCCCCGGCGGCCCCGGCAGCCCCGGCTATGACCCCTCTCCCCCCTTTTCCTCTTTTTCTCCCTTCCATCTCCACCCATTCTGCCAGAGCTGCAGAATCTGTCGGGGGCGACGGCAGGACACGCTGGCTTGGAATGGCAATGCGACAACAAGCGCGACGCGGCGTGGTGTGGCGCGTGGAGCAAGGCGCTTTAAATCAGAAGAACCCTAAAGGGGCCGCCGCTTGTGCGGGGGCGTTGTGGTTGGTGTTGGAGCCCCTGGGAGAGGGGAGAGAGGGGGCGAGAGGAAGGGAGGGGAGGGGAGGGGGAGAGAGAGAGAGAGGGAGAGAGAGAG